TCTTTCTTTCTTTCTTTCTTTCTTTCTTTCTTTCTTTCTTTCTTTCTTTCTTTCTTTCTTTCTTTCTTTCTTTCTTTCTTTCTTTCTTTACTGACAAGCCTCTCACAAAAAGTCTTGCGCATCTTGCAGTCTTTACGGTAACCTTATATGGAAATCCCGGCTTGTGATTGGTCGAGGGGGTCAACAACTTCTTCAGCTTTTCCTGGGCTGACCACCATCGCTTGTTTTTGACGGCTGCAGCTGCTTTCCGAGGGGGAGTGCAAATATATGACGTACTTACAACGCGGACATTTGAAATAAAAGAAAATGTGCTGAATAAACTGATCTGCCCAACAGAAGAAACAACACAACAGCGCTGTGTATTTTAAAGCAGGTAAACCGAGTCGGTCCTCTCTTCATAAATGTGTCTGAATACTTCCCGTTCTGGGAGCAGCAGTAGCTTTATTGACAGCACGAAGCAAATCCGTCGGGGATAAACCTGGCTTGTTGTATGGGGTTGTGTTTTAGCGTTTTACTTACTAACTGGACGGTAAATGTGGTGTCGTTCGCTGACACTAAATGAAACCTATCATATTCAAATAACGGAAATGTTCAACTAGCGCGAGACTCGCTAGCTCCTAGCACTACACCTGACCTGTTAGCTGCCTGTTTCCTTCTGTATTTTTTTTAGCTTAATCATTGCTACTTTATCTGCATAAACGTTGATACTTTTTGTGTCAGTTTTTGATAATATTCTCTTAAGAGGAAATGGTTGTGAAAATAGTGATGGGTAGTTTAGTTAATATTTGATTTAGCAGGCAGTTAAATTGCTTTGACATCATTACAACTYTGTGTGAACAAAGGGTTTATGGTTTCAGTTGTGGTTGTTTATTAGCAGAACATTGAACATTTGACTTCTAAGACAGCTTACATGATAAGTGACAGTCAACATCTGTAATTGAAACAAATAGCTGTACAGTAAAGGCTACACATTTAGACATCTGTGCCTTTTGATTTACTGTTTTACTTTGCATAAAGTGTGCAAGAGAGTTCCCTCATCTTACTGTAATGATTCATTTTCACTGCTGCTGGGTGTGTTCTTGCAACAGTCATAACTGCATAAGCACTAAACCTAGTTCACAAGGCAAATTATGCTTGTACAGGACACATAAAAGTGATTGTTTTGTCACAATCACAAGTCAGATTTGATTCTTTTAGTACTTCAGCTCAGCTGCAATCGATTTTAAAGAGTTTACAATTATCTAAAGTTGGACCTTAAGCCTTAACATGACACAAACGATCCCTTTAACCAGTCTATAGGCATTCAGCTCTACATAACGATATTGGGCAGCAGACCACTGGTCACATGCATGACATAACTCCTTCAGTAATGCAACTATTCAGGCCCACCAAATGCAGAGAAAGGCTGCATGCTGCTGTCAGTGGTCCCTTCTGCTTTGTCCACATGTGTGACTGACTCAGCATTTTAGCCTAATGTCACATTAAGCTGTTACAGTGGTCTGAATCATATAATCAAAGATGGCTACTACTTTGTATTTCAGATATTATCATAAGTAAGAATAACTAATTATTGGTTATCTGAACTTTAAAACTGTCTACTTCAGCTAACTTCACATTTTCTAAACAGCTGGTTACAGCTCAACATTTTGTCTTTGTTTTCCCCACAAAGTTTCTACCTGTGGACCCTCCAGACCAGTGACAATTCACCATGCTGTCCAAGTTAAGAACAGCCTGGTCCCTGAGACCGTGTGTCTCTGTCTGCAGATGGAAGCATACCAAAGAAAAGGGAAAGCCTCTTATGCTCAACCCTCACACCAACAAGGTAGGCAGACTGCCGGCATCGCCTTTACGTGTCAGCCTTTAAAAGTAAAGAGCAAGATGGCCGTTTGTTTATTTATTTATTTATTTATTTATTCGTTATGTCTTGACAGGCGCGGGTTTTTGACATGATATGAGGTGGATCAGTTGACATCACTTTTTTGTATAGATGGGCAGAAAATAATTGCAAGGCTCAGTGAAAAATGGAAAATTGAGTTTGACCACAGTGCAGAGAAGCAGAACAACTTCAAGTCAAAACTGAAGAATAAACAAAACATATTCAAAATGTACGACACAAAGGCAAGAGTAGGAGAAAACTGACAGTGCATCTTGACAATCAAAGATTTGTTCTACAACTTTGATCTACTTTATAAACTTAGATTTGACCAAAATATATGCTTAATGCAGAAAGTGTTAGTTAAGTGCACGCAGCAATATTTGGAAATGACCTGAAGATCATTTTTCAAAATTAAAGGGAATTGTAAAGTCCTTCCTTTTCATGTTTGTTCCAAATTGTGCATACACTTTTCTCTAATGATTCCTTTTCATTGTCTTTAAATTCTAGAGCTAAATTTTACTATAAAGTTTGTTTCACAGTATTTATTGCTTTTTGGCTTTGTTATGAAGTGTTTGGATTTCAGGAATTTCCTGTGAGTGACTTAAAGTTTCCAAAGGCATTTTAACACAAAACTTCAGCAGCTTGAGGCAATATGCTCTCACTCATTAGAGGACAGGCTAAATGAAGCATGGCGTTAACGTGTTGTTGTAAATTTAGACGTGCAAACATACATGTAAAATGGTCACAGGCCAGCTGCCAACTGGTCCTGTGGACATGACATAGCATGCATGAACTTAATGGTTTGCAGTGGATCCACTCTGCAGTTGAGGCTTGAAAGCTAAAGCCTCACAGATACTTATAAAAAATGCATATAGGTGTTTCTCCTCTACAAACCAGTCATATCATTAAAAATTTCACACAAACAGGCAGTCATTCCACTTTCATCCCCGTTTCCCAGTTTCTAAAACATAATTTCTTACTCTTTTGATATACTCTAAATAGAAACATAATTTTACTTAATTCAAATCCCATTCTGCCAAAATAAAAAAAGAACCTGTTAAGACTATAAACTGATTAGAAGCAGTATATACACTCACCGACCACTTTATTAGGTACACCTGTCCAACTGCTCGTTAACACTTAATTTCTAATCAGCCAATCACATGGCGGCAACTCAGTGCATTTAGGCATGTAGACATGGTCAAGACAATCTCCTACAGTTCAAACCGAGCATCAGTATGGGGAAGAAAGGTGATTTGAGTGCCTTTGAACGTGGCATGGTTGTTGGTGCCAGAAGGGCTGGTCTGAGTATTTCAGAAACTGCTGATCTACTGGGATTTTCACACACAACCATCTCTAGGGTTTACAGAGAATGGTCCGAAAAAGAAAAACATCCAGTGAGCGGCAGTCCTGTGGGCGGAAATGCCTTGTTGATGCCAGAGGTCAGAGGAGAATGGGCAGACTGGTTCGAGCTGATAGAAAGGCAACAGTGACTCAAATAACCACCCGTTACAACCAAGGTAGGCAGAAGAGCATCTCTGAACACACAACATGTCGAACTTTGAGGCAGATGGGCTTCAGCAGCAGAAGACCACACCGGGTGCCACTCCTTTCAGCTAAGAACAGGAAACTGAGGCTACAATTTGCACAAGTTCATCGAAATTGGACAAGAGAAGATTGGAAAAACGTTACCTGGTCTGATGAGTCTCGATTTCTGCTGTGACATTCGGATGGTAGGGTCAGAATTTGGCATCAACAACATGAAAGCATGGATCCATCCTGCCTTGTATCAACGGTTCAGGCTGGTGGTGGTGGTGGTGTCATGGTGTGGGGAATCTTTTCTTGGCACTCTTTGGGCCCCTTGGTACCAATTGAGCATCGTTGCAATGCCACAGCCTACCTGAGTATTGTTGCTGACCATGTCCATCCCTTTATGACCACAATGTACCCAACATCTGATGGCTACTTTCAGCAGGATAATGCGCCATGTCATAAAGCTGGAATCATCTCAGACTGGTTTCTTGAACATGACAATGAGTTCACTGTACTCAAATGGCCTCCACAGTCACCAGATCTCAATCCAATAGAGCATCTTTGGGATGTGGTGGAACGGGAGATTCGCATCATGGATGTGCGGCCGACAAATCTGCGGCAACTGTGTGATGCCATCATGTCAATATGGACCAAAATCTCTGAGGAATGCTTCCAGCACCTTGTTGAATCTATGCCACGAAGAATTGAGGCAGTTCTGAAGGCAAAAGGGGGTCCAACCCGTTACTAGCGTGGTGTACCTAATAAAGTGGCCGGTGAGTGTATATTTTCACTTCTGTTGATCAATTGTGGAGTTTTGCCTAAAAATCAATAGAAAAATCTTGGGATTTACATTAGAAAAGGTCTGAAATTTAAAACTGGTATACAAAAAACAAGTTTACCAGGGTAGAGAACCAAGCTAAATTACTCTGTTTTACATTAGTTATAAAAACCGTTTGTTTTATTTTTGAAGATGATTTATTGTATATTTTTGTATTATTATCTGACACCTTTTATATAATAAATAAAAAATTTTTTGAACCACTTGTCATTGGTTTGGTGGTAAACAAAATATGAACAGAAACAAGTTTTAGACATCAATTAAGAACTTTATCCGTTTTGTAGAACTGTTGCCTTATGTTGAGGGGGGCTGACAATTGCAGCTAAGTAAAATGCATAATCAGCATGACTAAGCTTTTTTTTTTTTTCAGGGGAGCCCTCCCCCAACATACATCATTTGTGCAACATAATTAGTCCCTTCACCAGCCTCTCACTGAATGGCTTACATATGTTCAGGCCCTGTTTTATTCAGAACCGGGTCCTCCAAACCCATAAAAAAACGTCTCCTGACTTTTTACAGGGTGTTGCTGCACACAGTGTTTCTCATTGGCTCCATAAAGCTGCTCCTTGTTTTAAGTTATTTTACTCTCCTCCGGCAGAATTCCTTTTTTTTCCTGTTTTCTCTCGTGTTTCTCAACTTTCACGCTCTGCTGTAAAAAGTGGATGGTTAGGCCTGTTTACCCATAAATAAGACAGCACGCCCTCTAGTGACTGAAATTTATTAAAATAAAAATACAATTTTTTTTCTGACAAGTATTTATTTTAAAGATTTTTCATAAAGTCTATTTTATAACCTTGAACCACTTGCAGCAGAATAATGATTTAAACGTGAATATTTTGAAGCATGAAAAGTTTTAAATACATAACAGTTTAAAACGCTATGCAAGACCGTTTGCATGTGAAAACATTAGTTAACCTATAAACAGGAAAAAGACGGAGGCGCTGCTTAAGATGAAAATAATAATGACGTTGATTTTCCTTTTTTAACTCAACATAAAACACAAAGAATTTCTCTCTTTTTAAATAATTTCAGGGTATGGCCTTCACACTAGAGGAGCGACAGATTTTAGGGATACACGGTCTGTTGCCTCCTAAAGTGGAAACTCAAGACAATCAGGCCACACGCTTCAAAAAGAATCTCAAGAAAATGTCAGATCCCCTGGAGAAGTAGGAACATCATTTTCTTTATACACAGAACAATAGACATTAGTTTCTTCTTTATTTTTTTTCTTCTAATTTTCCTTCTGTATACAGGTACATCTACCTGATGGGTATTCAGGAAAGGAATGAGAGGCTTTTTTATCGCGTGTTGATGGAAAACATAGAAGAATTGTTGCCAATTGTCTACACGCCRACTGTAGGCCTGGCCTGCACACAGTATGGACATATATTTAGGAGACCCAAGTAAGCATTTAGTTTTAGTCCCAAAGATGGAGAAAATAATTTATTTTAATGTGATTTAATGATTTCTTAAAGATGCACAGCATCTGTTTCTCTCTGAATGCTGTAAAATAATGTTACAGGAGTTTAGAGTTTTATTATAGGTTTTTTTTTTGTTGTAAAAAGAATTCTTAATGATGTCCTGATGCATCTCAATAAAAAAGTCAAGTGGGTCTTGGACGAGGTCGAGTGGACGAGTTCTTCTTTGTTGAAACGTTTCATCTCTTCTAAGTAGTCTCTTGGAGAAGAGACAAAATGTTTCAACAAAGAAGAACACGTCCAGAGGACCTACTAAATGTTTTTTTCTTTTAATCCTTGATGTTTTTTTCTCATCAGAGGCGTGTTCATTTCCATTCTGGACCGAGGACATGTTCGCTCCATTCTGGACAATTGGCCAGAGACTAATGTAGCAGTAAGTACATGAATATCTTTAGCACAGTATATATTTTTTTATTTAATTGTTTTACAAAAGTGACAACAAAACTATCAATATAACAAACTCATTAAATATCTACAGATATTGTGTTTTCACCTACACTTGGCAATGTACATTTAGTCAATTAACCTGCTTCTTTTTCACCTTCTCCCTTGTTTTCTGAAGGCTGTGGTAGTAACTGATGGAGAACGTATTTTAGGTTTAGGGGACCTGGGTTGTTATGGAATGGGCATACCTGTTGGAAAACTTTGCCTGTACACTGCCTGTGCCGGCATTAGACCTGAGAAATGTCTGCCTGTGGCGATAGATGTCGGCACAGACAATGAGGTAGGTTGGCTATGTGTATCTGCTCTGTTTGCCTGTGTATTGTAGGTACTCTGGGGGAAAAAAAGTCTTTGTATTTCTTCTCCCATTAGAGTCTCCTTAAGGATCCGTTTTACATGGGACTGTATCAGAAGCGAGACCGCACTCAAGCATACGATGATCTGATTGACGAGTTCATGGAAGCTGTGGTGGAAAAATATGGGCAGGATACACTGATCCAGTTTGAGGACTTTGGGAATCACAATGCGTTCCGCTTCCTTCGGAAGTACAGGGAGAAATACTGCACCTTCAACGACGATATTCAAGGTTCACACATTTATTTATTGTTAGCTCAATGGAATTATTATTAATCTTTCATAATTAATGGAGAAATGGCACGTACATMCATGTATCTTGACCTAGAGAGAGGCCCCACCATTTTTCTTCTGAATTGACCAAGGTGGTCAGAACATGCATCAGTGAATGATCCTCGAATGTTTATGTCCCAGTTTTCATAGCATTGCTATTGAAATTTAGCACATCACCTCATGTAACCCATACTGTCATACTTTTACCCTTATCCTTCATACCCAGTTAGAATATGAATATATTGTTGGGCATTGAGACTGAGGGTTTATGCTTTGACAGCAAAATCAGTAAAAAGATTTACTGCTCATTAATGCAAATGTCGAATCAGCCAATCACGTGGCAGCAATGGCCAACATTTAGGCATGTAGACATGGCCAAGACGATATGCTGTAGTTCAAACCGAGCATCAGAATGGGAAAGAAAGGTGATTTAAGTGACTTTGAATGTGGCATGGTTGTTGGTGCCAGATGGGCTGGTCTGAGTATTTCAGAAACTGCTGATCTACTGGGATTTTCACGCACAACCATCTCTAGGGTTTACAGAGAATGATCCGAAAAAGAGAGAATATCCAGTAAGCGGCAGTTCGGTGGGCGCCAATGCCTTGTTGATGCCAGAGGTCAGAGGAAAATGGCCAGACTCGTTCGGCAACAGCAACTCAAATAACCACTCGTTACAACCGAGGTCTGCAGAAGAGCATCTCTGAACACACAACACGTCAAACCTTGAGGCGGATGGGCTACAGCAACAGAAGACCACACCAGGTGCCACTCCTGTCAGRTAAGAACAGGAAACTGAGGCTACAATTCACACAGGCTCACCAACATTGGAAATAGAAGATTGGAAAAACATTGCCTGGTCTGATGAGTCTGGATTTCTGCTGCAACATRCAAATGGTAGGTTCAGAATTTGGCGTCAACAACGTGAAAGCTTGGATCCATCCTGCCTTATATCAACGGTTCAGCCTGGTAGTGGTGGTGCAATGGTGTGGGGGATATTTTCCTGGCACACTTTGGGCCACACCAACAACCAACACCACAGCCTACCTGAGTATTGTTGCTGACCATGTCCATCCCTTTATGACCACAGTGTACCCATCTTCTGATGGCTACTTCCACCAGGATAACACTCCATGTCATAAAGCATGCATCATCTCAGACTGGTTTCTTGAGTATGACAATGATTTCACTGTACTCGAATGGGCTCCACAGTCACCAGATCTCAGTCCAATAGAGCACCTTTGGGATGTGGTGGTACAGAAGATTCACATCATGGATGTGCAGCCGACAAATCTGCYGCAACTGTGTGATGCTAACATGTCAGTATGGACCAGACTCTCTGAGGAATGTTTCCAGAACCTTGTTGAACTTATGCCACTAAGGATTAAGGTAGTTTTGAAGGCAAAAGGGGGTCCAACTCTGTACTAGCAAGTTGTACCTAATAAAGTGGCCAGTGAGTGTATATGAATGAGGGTTCTGTCTCATTCAGTTGAGGTGATGTTTCAAACACGTCCACAGTACTTAGACTTGCATTAGAAGTATTTCGTTTATGAATTTTAAACTGTAGGTTACCTGCCTTATAAGACCTAAAAAAAGACTGCCAAATATTCCATGTTGTGTTTTTTCAAGGCAGAGTCTCTGTTTTACAAATTTGTACCCTTACATGTTTCCAGGCACTGCATCTGTGGCTCTTGCTGGTCTGTTAGCAGCTCAGAGAGCCACCGGCAAACCYATCACTGAACATCGTGTCCTTTTCCTGGGAGCTGGAGAGGTAAGTTGACAAGCCATTTAAATTTTCATATCACTAAGTGAGTCACACTACTTCAAAAAAGCCAAAAAATAATGTTGATTTACATTTACTTTTTAAAAATGTGGCTTAGGAGTTTGGAAACTCTTGTCTTAAATTGTTTCTTCACAGGCTGCTCTTGGAATTGCCAACCTGATTGTGATGGCCATGACGGAATCAGGGCTGAGTCAAACAGCAGCCAGAGAAAAGATCTGGATGTATGATGCACATGGTTTACTTGTAAAGGTCAGTGTGTGTGAGAGACAGTCTGACTGTGAGTACTTCAACCAACTGGTAGTTCAACGGAGCTTGAATTGTTTTCCATTTATGTTTCATTTTTTTTAGGACAGAGCACAAAAAACTGACTCTAACCAGGAGGTGTTCATCCACGACAGTCCAGGGGATGTGCAGAGCTTTTTGGATGCTGTCAACACCATCAAACCCACAGCTATCATTGGTGATCGAGATCTCATTTCTTGCTTAAATCTTTTTAAACATACATGTTTGAGTAACTAACAACTAAAAGCTGCACTTCTTAGTTTTTAGTTTACCAAAGTTCCATGTTCTTGAACTTTGAGATTCAGCTGAAGCATCAAATAAACTTTTCTTCATGCAGGCGTGGCGGGAGCTGGACGTCTCTTTACTCATGATGTCCTCAAAGCCATGGGAGCCCAAAATGAACGACCAATTATCTTTGCCTTGAGTAACCCAACAAACAAAGCAGAGTGCACAGCGGAGGATGCTTACACACTAACTGATGTACACATTTTTCATTTGTAACTAATTTTAGTCTTAACATGAKCTCTGCAGCCTGTCTAATATTAAGTTCTTTCTTGTTTTATAGGGCCGATGTCTTTTTGCCAGTGGCAGCCCGTTTGGTCCTGTTACTCTAAGTGACGGTCGGGTCTTTACACCTGGACAAGGAAACAATGCCTACATCTTTCCAGGTGAGATAAAGAAAAAAAAAGATTAGGAACATAATTGATTATCAGGAAATTTCTTGGCCTGAATTTATTTAACCAGGTGTTTTGTGCTGTTACACTACAGACATCCTGAAAATATTTGTTACACATTTTGGTTTTGTGTTTTAGGTGTGGCTCTGGCTGTGATTCTGAGTGGCGTGAGACACATCAGTGATACTGTATTCTTGGAGGCTGCCAAGGTATGAGTTTAAAAAAAGCTAATTATTTCTTCATTTATTGCTCGAACCTGCTGAAGTTCTCTTTGACTTCACTCTCACCCCATTTTCTTTTCTTGCTGACTCTGTGTTGTGTGCATATGCTCGTCCAACCCCTTATTTAACCTTTTAATGTCTCCTTTTCCTCTCTCTCTCTGTATAGAGTCTGGCAAAACAGCTTTCAGATGAAGAGCTTTTAAAAGGCTGATCCATCTGTTCTTCCTTCTTTTGCTGAGCTGTGTTTGACTTTACAGTTTCTCTAAGCATTCATATGTAGTATTTAAATTACAATCATTTGCATGATGTGTCTCTTGAGCATTCAAATCGTATATTTTATTAGATCTTATTCAGTGTGACAAACGTATGACTGCATATTTTGATGGATAATGACAAAAGTAATCTACAATCAAATAGTTATTGCAGTATTGAGGCTGTAGAAAAAAGGTTTAGTCTAAAAGTATTTTTATACTCCTTCCAGTCTCTTGCTGAACAGCTGACGGATAATGAGCTGAACGCAGGAAGACTCTATCCTCCTCTCTCCAACATCAGAGAGGTCTCTGTTCAGATCACAGTCAAGGTAACACTCTTGAAATTTTATACTTTCTTCTATAATGACAAGATCCATTTCCACATTAGCTGAATGTTAATATTTACTTTTTTAAATTACATGACAGAGTCTGATAGATATCCAATTTTATTAATTACCTTTTGACAGTTAAAATAAGATGGTGATGAAAAATGACGTGTTTGTCAGTAAAGTTTTTCTCCTTCCCTGCAGGTGATGGAATATGTCTATGCTAAAGGCATGGCGTTCCGCTACCCTGAGCCTCTGGACAAGAATCGTTTTGTGCGTGGTACTGTGTGGAACACGGACTATGAGTCCTTCCTGCCTGATACCTATGATTGGCCTGGTGTCAACTTCAGTCCTAAAACATGCTAAAAGTAGTGAAAATTAGAGTAGAAGGTAACACTTAAAAGAGAAGAACACTTCTGTGACATTAGGCMTTTTCTCCAAGTTATTTGTTGTGCTCTTTGAAAATGTAAACCTTTAGAAAAGTCTAGTGCCACCTGGTGATAAAAAACAGGCAGTGTGAAAATCTAGAGACATAGACGCTTTTAAAAAAACAACTACTATTGGGCAAAGATAAAGACAAAAAGGTGCAAGATTTGCATTCAATCAAAATATTTTAAGTTAGTTAAATCATACTTTTCAATAAAATAGCCTTATAAGTAAATGCTGTAAAGGGAACTTTACCTGATTTTAGCAACACAACACTCAAAAATTAATGCAACAGTTTTTTTACACTCCTAAATCCACAGATATCTTTATTTTCTTCATCTTCACTCCTCTTTCTCCTGATCCAACCGATAAAAAACATGCCACAGAGCTGAGTGCTGAAAAGCTTCACTTTTGCTTGCAAGTAGTTAAAAAAACAGAACATTGTTAACTTCTAGGTCAAGTGAAGTGAGTATTTTAAAAACCTACCACTTTATTGAAAAAGACAAGAATTAATAAAGGGAAATAGGTATATTAACCAAAGTAAATAATATTTTAAACCATTTAGGCTAACATGCAGCTAGAACACTTGAATGTACACTCCAACAATTTATGAAGTACTTTTGCCAACTTTTATTTATTATCTTTTGAATTAATATATATTAGCACTCCTTTGAGGCCCTGTCACACTAGACAACTTGTACCAACCTATGTTGAAGATGGAATTGAAAAAAATCAACAGGAAGTTTCTTCTTGGCGTGTACATAATGTGATTCAAACAAATTAATCAAATATATAACATTAGCAATTTAGACATAAAAAATGTTTCATAAGTTGGCATAAGTTGCCTAGTGTGACAGGGCCTTTAGG